TTACAGAAGGGAAAGAAAAACTTTTTATGAAAATATTAATGCAATTTTCGAGTTTTGTACCCTTAAATTCGAAAAGAATTCAGCGATTGAAGAAATCAGAAAAAATTATATATTGTATGATATTTTTTATAAAAAAATAAATAAAATAAAAATAACATTCTTACGTATCATTCTTAATATCTGTAGAGTAATTTATTATAATCGGATATTATTTTATATACATGTACACATACACGTTTTAAATTTGAAATGACTATTTATATATACTATATATATATATATATATATATATATATATATATATATATATATATGAGTAAGTTCTTCAAGGGCATACATCAAATAAAAGGCAAAGATTTAGAAGTTAATCTTTAATTTTTCCAAACGTTTCGACATAGTATTTTATGTCATCATCAGTGGATCTACAGAATGAATATTGAAAAATTAATATAATCTAGGAAAAAATGACAGAAATTGGAAAAAGAACTATAGATATAAGTAATATAATTATAGCAATAACAATTATACTTAACAGATAGATAAACAAGAGAAATGAAAAGTAAAAAGAAACGGAACGCACATCAAATATTGTTTATAAATTAAAATGCAATGATTGTGATTCCATTTACATAGGTGAAACTGGACAAAATTTAATAAAACGACTAAAACAACATGATAATAACTCTAAAAACCCACGACAAAATCAAACTATGATAACAGAACATATAAAAAATTTTAAACATTCTTTTGACTTTTATAACGCTAGTATACTTTATCACGAACGGAACATTATTCAGAGAAGATTTGCTGAATCTTGTCTGATCAGCACCTCGAAATTTTGTATTAATAAACGCCATGATGCCTCCTTACTCTGTGAAAATTATCAGGTGATACTTAATAATATTTCCAAATTTGTTTCCACTTAACCTACGTAATTCCGAACCTGTAAACCTACCCTTACGCGGTCCGATCCCGAACTTTGATTCTTAGCCTCTCACCCATACTTAGAAACACTGATTGTAAAAAACCCGCCAACTATTCCCTCAAACGGTCTCTTCAAATAATTTTTAAACACATGTTACTACAGCCTCGGGCTCTGTCACATAAACTACGTTCTCTGTGCAAAATATATTATATATTTCACAAATATTTTGCCATACTCTGTTCAACAAATTAATATATAAAAAAACAAGTTAATGTATATATGATAGTGCAAAATTGTGTTCCTAGCGCTAGCTACTGATGTAAGACCATATTTATGTAAGTTACCTTCATTGTCTATATATGTGTATGTGTCTGTATTGCATATGTATGTATGTGTATGTATATGTATATATATATATGTATGTGTATATGTATATATATATATATATATATATATGTGTGTATGTATGTATATGTATATGTGTATGTGTATGTATGTATATATGTGTATATATACATATGTACATGTCCGTATGTATATGTTTATATATACGTATTGTTCGTATGTATATATGCATATGTGTACGTGTTTTTACATGCATATCATATATACATGTTTGTTTGTGTGTATATTTATGTATATATATTACGCTTTTGTATGTTTATATATATTTCTTTTTACTTTTCATTTCTCTTGTTTATCTATCTGTTAAGTATAATTGTTATTGCTATAATTATATTACTTATATCTATAGTTCTTTTTCCAATTTCTGTCATTTTTTCCTAGATTATATTAATTTTTCAATATTCATTCTGTAGATCCACTGATGATGACATAAAATACTATGTCGAAACGTTTGGAAAAATTAAAGATTAACTTCTAAATCTTTGCCTTTTATTTGATGTATGCCCTTGAAGAACTTACTCATATTTCTCAACATCAAAATTAACTACTTTAACATATATATATATATATATATATATAGGGGAGAGCGGGGCACAAAGGTCCAATTTGACTTTGAGCAATTATACTGTGAAAACCAAACCAATTATGTCACAACAAATAACACATATCTAAAAACAACTATCTGACTATGTTCAGTAAAATTCTATGCTATTTATTGTATTAATTCATTATTGTAGAAACGTGTTTATCTGCCGTTTTTTCAAAAATTTGTTACCTGGTCCTTTTTACGCTATAAGCGAGATAAATTGGGACGGCCAGAATGCAAATAGGTTTAATATCTTATTTTCAATTTTGGGATTTTACGAACCAATGCAAAATATAATGCAAAACACTGTACGAGTACATAACCTTTATCGTTATTTTGTCAGTAATAGATATCAGCGGAGTTAGAATAACAATTTATTTAATTTATCTCTTTTAATATTACTGTATTTAACTTAATTTACATTTTTATTAACTTCCCGTAGGGCAAGTTATAGATTGCTTTGAAAAAAAGTTAAGAATTTCCAAAATATGCCAAAATAAAAAAAAAAAAAATTTTCAATAAATTTTTTTTTAAAAAAAAGTAATTTTTTATCAGATTTATAGTTTCTCAAAAATCTAATTTTTTTTAAGTAAAATTTTTTCAAAAATGTTAATCGTTTTAAAAAAAAATAATAATTTTTGGTACGGAAAGTTCCAGCAATTTGCCTTAAGGCCATGCGCCCCACTAGTTTACTACTTTATATTATTTACATCTTTGCCAGGGTAAAGGTTAACTTTTTCTCTTTTTCCCTATCCACGTGTAAGCTTTTATAGCGGTTATAAAAAAACTATGAACGAAAGAAACTACTTTCGTTTTTTCAAGCATTCAAGGGGATGGCTGATTATACATACATCTTTTCCCTCAACTTTCAAATACTGTTGTTAAAAAATTCTTAACTTTATTTGTTTTTGATATCGGTCATGGATTTTCATATATATATAATATATAATCAGCAGTTTCTTCAAGGAAATCAAACCAATTTTTCAATTAAACCTTCATCTCCAGTCTCCACAACGCATTTAACTTCCTTCCGCAGAGCAATAAACCAATTTCAATTCATTTGCCATTTGTGCAAATAAAGTGCAACACGTGATCATATGACAACCTCTTTTAAAAATAATCGAAAATATTGATTGTTTTATCAAGTGCAAATTACAGTTGATGGATTTTAATTATGAACTGTTGTTATCAGAAGTTCTGTGGAAGAAATTGTATTGTAATTTGTGTGCATTGAATTGAAGCATGAAATAAGCGAATACTATTACAGGGAAATTTCAATACAAAATAAAGTATTATTAATAAATTTTACCGATTATTTTGATAAGAAGCAGAAAGAGACATATAGTTCAAACGATCAACTTTGAAATGAATTAATCTTTTAAATTGATGTAAAATTTATCGAGTATTTTTTATTTTAAGATCCTAAAAAAAGATTTTTATTTTTATTCATTTATTTATTTTCTTATCATTATATGACATATTTATGTATTTTATTCATACCTCTACACTACATGGACTGCTAGTCGAACGCAAAATAAGTGTCATAGAAGGGACCGTGACTTCACTTAGTGAACGAGCGTTGCCGACAATCGTGGAACACTCCCGATTGATTAAATGTCTTATGTCATATGTCAATATCATATGTTTAACCGAAAATTAAATCTTATGCTTGAAAGTGTTAAATTCTGGTGAAGAAAAATAGTTTGTGAAAAAAAGAATTATATTATATAAGAAAATATCATTTTCTAGAAACTATCACAGATAATATTTGAATTACATTAACTATTATGATGTATAATATATAATATATTATGTAATATCCACTATTGGTTACGCAAATTAAACTAAAATATTTACTTTTAAGTTGAGCACGTGACATATGACATATGACATTTAATCAATCCGGAGTGTTCCACGATTGTCGGCAACGCTCATCCACTAAGTGACGTCACAGTCCCCTTCTATCTTTTGACATTTTATAGAATGGAAAACGTATGAGGACTAGCAGTTCATGTAGTGTGAGGTTCAGAATCTGTAATTGTTAACGTTGGCAATTAGAAATGCATCAATTTAAAAAAAAAAATTATAAAACCATTTTTTGTTGGAATGCTCGACAGTCTGGAATAACATTTATATTTAACTTGGCAAAGAATTACTTGTTATTCAATTAATTATCCAATTTATTCTATAAACTTTTAATCTAAAAGTTCTTAACTTACTGTGTAAAAATTTATAAATGAGTACCTTGCTGGATAAAAAAATCTTTTAAAAATTTAAACGGAATTTAGAAACTATCTCCATATATCAATAAATTAAGATTTGAATAGAGTTAAAAACTGAAATGTAAATAATTCGTTATTGTTAGTTAAGTGTCATTCATCGTGTATACTAACAACAAGTGAACAATAAGTGAAAATTAAGTTAAGTAACAAAAGAATTAAAATAGTAAACAAACAAGTCAGATAATTTTTCCGATGTTGAAATACTATGGTTGCATTTTTGTTTTTAGGTATTATTGTAGAGACGTTAAGATTATCTGGAATCAAAAAAGCTAATGTTAGTGTGTGCTCTTATCATAGAAATTAGTTTACAAGCTTATTACTTTGCAATCTTTTAAACCATGTCTGTTTGAAATTATTTTCTTATTATGTTTTTCGGTACTCTGATAAACTTCGGACTTTGGTCAACTCGATCTGATAACTTATCATTGATAAGTCTTTATTTAGCCTGCGTAAAGGAAAATTTGTTATTAAAAATTTGCTACTTTAAGGTTGCTCTTCCCTGTGCTGGTGATGAACTAGTGTAAATATTTAAAAAGATTAGCAAAAATAATGATCCATCGTAATAACGCAGCAACGTAACACTGTCATCTGCTGCTGCAAACGGCAAATGTGTTTCGACTAAGGAAGTGACCTGACTTCGTCCGATTCGCACGGGCCTAATTGTTAAAAAGTAAAAGTTGTTAAGTGTCTTTATTATTATCGTTATTTACAATTGGAAATATGTTAGCAATATTGACATCGGTGCTATTCACGTTGTTCTTCTTTCTGACATTGCTGCACTATGGTTTCAAAGAATTGGCGCAGGTCAGGAAAGTTGAAAATGTTCCGGCTGTTAGACCCTTCCCGGTTTTTGGAAATATTTTTGATATCATCATGACTCCAAGTAAGCACACGATTAATATTAAATTTACTTTATCATATAGTTGTGAGTCAAAGTGCATTAACAAATATTTTTATTAAAATTATTTGTGTATTCAAATAGAAAATGTTTAAATTTTGGCATTGAAATTGCTAAAACAAATTATTTTAATTGAAAATTGTTTGTGATGTAAAATTGATACATTTTAATTCGGAATTGAATTAAATTGTTTAAATTAATTTTATTTAATTATGTTTTCAATCAAGAAGCTATCCGTAATTCTTGTACATGTATTAAAATATTACGTGGGGTTAAATATTACATATTTGATCGGGGCTTAAAACTCCGCGGGTAAGAAGATCCACCACCGATATCTCAAAAATATCTCAAGTTGAAATTTTTCAACAACAATATTTGAAAGTAAAGGACAAAATAGGTATAAATTAGCCATCACTTTGATTCTCACGACGTCACTATCTGGAGATAAAAGACAATGTTTGAAAATCCATAACAAAAATATTTTCTTTTGTAGTTAGTTTTTTTGGTTGTGAGCACTGTTTAGTTTTAGTTTACGAGAACTCAAAATAATTCGATTGTTCTATAAAATGTTTTGTTAATTTTAAGTTAGATTCAACAGTTTACACGTGAATGGGGTAAAAAGGACCAACTGAACATTTACCCTGAAAAAGACGTAAACAATAAAAAATAGTGAATAAAAATTTAATGTCAGTTAAAAAATGTAATTTTACAAAAAATAAATAAAATTGATAATTACTCCAATCCTGCTGACGAATATTTACCTACTAAATAAAATTTATATTTAGCTTTGGTTGAAGAATGTAGCTATTAGTTTGTAAAATCCCTTCAAAATTTAAAATTGAACATTGGACCTATTGCCACCTAGCCGTCCCATTTTATCCCGCCTATGGAGTAAAAAGGGCTAGGTGCCAAATTTTTGAAAAACTGAAAAAATACACATTTCTACAATGAGCTGGGAGTTTTACTGAACATAATTAAATAGTTATTTGTTTGATATGTATTATTTGTTGTGATATAATTGGATTGGTTTTCACAATATAATTGTTCAAAGTCAAATTAGACCTTTGTGTCACGTCTTACTCTTATTTATTATATTTTATTTTATCATTTTATTAAAAGTGCTTACCGGCAATTTTATAAGTAAATTTAATCAAAAAAAGAATTTATAATTTTTTTCGTAGGAATGCTTAGTTGTATTAATTAACTTTTATTTTTATTAATCAAGGTGTTAAATTGTATTTCATATTATATAGGTACAAAATAATAATATTTTGTATTGTTTCGTAATATTTTATGTTTAAAATACAAAATCAAATTAATAACAAATTTAATTTTAAATTAAATAACTACTCAAATTAATTTTATTTAAAATTATTTTTCATTATTTTTTAATTGGATTATTGTCCCTTTTTTGAAATAATAAACACGTCCATTTTAAATTAATTTACTAAAATTAAATTACGACTCAATTATTAATATCGCATATAAATATCTAAAGAGAGTTAGAAATTTTCCATTTTTAGTTGTGTACACATCCAATTTATTGACTTATTTATTATAGATCATTGAAATAGATTTTATAAATATCATTATTTAAGGCAATTAAAAACACGGAAATAATTTTTTGAGAAAGAAATAGTGATCAGTAACCTCTAAATTAGCTTTTTATATTTTGTATTAATTTTAGTAAGCCCCAGATGTGTGTTGCGCTTTTATTGATTTTATATGAATAGAAACAATGATCAATATAGTTATCTAAAGTTATTTATACACTATAATTATCTAAAGTTATTTATAGTGTGTATCGGTCATAGAAGTTGTAAATAGTACACATGACCTATATCTGGGTTCACCTTTCCATATTTGTAGTCTATAATACATTTCGAAAAGAAAACCACTGGAGCATTGCATCGTGCCTTAAGGCAAATTGCTGGAACTTCTCATACCAAAAATTAAATTATTTAAAAAGGCTTTAAAATTTTCTGAAAACTGAAAAAACAGATTTTCAAGAATTGTAAAATTTTTGAAAACATTTGACTAACTTGAAAAATTTGATTTATTTATATTCTGACTTTTTTGATTTTTTTTTTTCAAAGCAAAGGCTGCGTAGACTAACATTTGATAAACATTGGTACGGAACCTATATAATTGTAAACAAAATTTGTACTTAATATTAAAATCTCTATAAAATATCTAATAATTTGATGTCCATAAGTCTAATGATCATTTTGACCGCCAAATGACCTGTTTTTAACTTCCTGATCGTCCAAAAATCGAAATTTTTCGGTCACTTTTTCGGGCGCACGGATCAACCGATTTGAATGGTTCAAAAAACATTCGATTCCTATTAATAGGGAGATGTGCTGATTAGTTTTTGGCAAAGGCAGGTCCAGCAGTTACGGAGATAAAGAGCCAAGTGTGCAGAAAATAGAAATCAATTTTTTGAGAGAACGGAGCATCCGATTTAAATGATCTAAAAAACATTCAATTAGTAATGATTGAGAGAAGTGGTTATTAGTTTTTGGCAAAGGCAGCCCCAGGTATTTCGAAGATACAGAGCTAAATGTGCAAAAAATGGCAGTTTTTGAGAGAACTAAGCGTCCGATTTAAATGATTCAAAAAACTTTCTGCCTGTTTTAACAAAATAATTGATATTGGAAAAAAAAAATGTTTCAAAATTTTTTTTATCATTTTTTTTTCAAATAAAAAATTTTTTTGTATATCGAAAATAATGCAGATTTTATTTTTAACTCTGACTAAAGTTCTACTATATTTTAAACAAATAATTTCAACTTTGCAATTCAGTTTATATAATTCTTATAAATATTAGACAATGTTTCAATATTAATAATAATCTATTTGAAAACATTCAATATTCCTCGAACATTTCTTTACGGTACGGGAAGTACCAGCAATTTGCCTTAAGGCACGATGCCATACACCCCACTAGTTTTTTTTTTGCAATCACTATAGCTTACTCCGCGGGAAGTTAATAGCCAATGTGTCAATTTGAATAATTAAAATGAATAAAATAAAATAATGGATTGTTTTAAAATGTTGCCGAAAATGCAAGTTAGTTGATCACGTCAGCCAATGTCGGATTAAACGCTTCTTACAATTAATGTTTGTTTTTGGACAAAAGTCATTATTGTTTTCCTTATTTAACACATTTCCATGTTCAAATATAATAAAATCTAGAAATGTTTATCTAGCGACATTGCGACGTTTGTGTTAATTTCTTGGTGATGTTTAATTACTGTTACATCTTAAGACTTAAGGAACGTAAAAATAAATGTATTGTTTAGTATTAATGTCTATATATAGTAAATTCATTTATATTAGATTTTCAAACTTAAGCTGCAACTCGTAGATAAATTAACTGCAGAATAACATGGGTCTATCATATTTATCATTTTCTCTGAATAGTGTGATTAAATAAATTATCTCGCTGTAAGTTGCATTTTGCATTGAGGTAAAAGCTTTCCGATATCTATAAATAATCGACTGTAAATAATATGAATTGATTTTTAGTAACTTTTGAAATTGTAACAATAGAGATTCGAAAATTTATTACGGCTTACAGTTTCAATCTTTGATGATTGTTAAATTAAACCGCTTTTTATAGGCCTTATAATATTTTAAGATGTTCAATAAGGCCATGAGCTTTATCATTATACAGTTTCATAAAATTTGTCAAAAAAAATCAAAACTTAATTACGAAGAAACGCCCACAATCAAAATCTTTCCGATATCTGTAAATAATTGACGTAATCAATATGAATTGTTTTTTAGCAACTTTTGAATTTGTGACAATAGAGCTTTGAAAATTTATTACGGCTTATTGTTCCAATCTTTGATGATTTTTTATATTTAAACCACTTTTATAAGCCTATAATATTTTAAAATGTTCAATAAGTGCTCTTTCATTATACGGTTTCATAAAACTCGTCAAAAAAAATCAACACTTAATTACGAAGAAACGGTAGATTTTTGCCAAAAATAATAATCACGACTCCCAATTGATTCCTTTCGAACGGCTTTTAAATTCTCAATATAGGCCTAATAGAAATAAATAGTACAAGATACAACATTTATTTACAATATAAATATAACGCGTTTTATAATCTTGTTGAGTATATTATTTTAATTTAATGTCACCAGTATATTTATGAATTTACTTTATTTTCAGGTGAATTATTCGACTTCGGTAGACATCTCGCACGGAAATATAAACGATTTTATCGTTTATGGATATTACAAGATTCTTTTATAAATTTACTTAAGCCAGAAGATATAGAAGTGAGTATGAATCGTACGCACGACATATTCGAAATTTTAATTATTTTCAATTAAATAATTTAGTTAAAATCGAAAAATTTTGATCCTGCAATACTCTTATATTTGAAGATTATATAATGTTTATTTTATACGTCGCAGGCTCTTTTATCAAATATCAAACACATTAAAAAAAGTCGAATATACGATCAAATAACGCCATGGTTAAAAGAGGGGCTGCTGACGAGCTATGGTAAGTAATTTTAACATTTTTATGTTCTATTTAAACGAAGATGAGGAATTTACATTACCTGCAAACATCCTCATAATATTTTGTTAATTAAAAGTCTGATCTGTCTGATTCAATGCTAAAATAAGGAGAGTTAGGGGCTTATTGTAATTTTTTATATTTTTTATTTCTATTGGACATGTAAACCGCTTTGCAAAATATTATCATAGCTACAGCCACGCAGGTCGACGCAATATACAGAACTGTGCAGGTCCGTCATTTTTGACAAATTATATTATACTATCATCAAATTTCTGTTTGCGTTATTATATCGACTATTTTTATATTTTATATATCTTTGTTTCAAATTTATGAATCTTTGATAATTTGTAACAATTTTTGTGATTGTGAAATTGTTTGAATAGTCATCTTGATTCATGTAAAATAATCATAACTGGGGTTAGTTGAAACAAAATCTTGGGAGAAGTTGTAACATGCTACATTGGTAATCTGGTATCTAGTGGAGCTTATACAGATTCAAGTCAAGAAAATGGGATAGAATTTATAATTTGTAAGATGTGTGCACATGTAAATTATGCAGGAGACGCTATATCTTTTATTTGTATTTTGATAATAAATGTAGTTTACGTTGATCTATGATAAGACTTTCTATTATAGGAGACACTATATATGTTAGTAGTATTGATTATAGTTTACATTGATTTATGAAAACAATTACTTAGTAACAAGTCAATTTTTTCAAAAATAAGTAAAAATTAAATTGTCAGTGGTATTATTGTTTTTTGTCGTTTCTACTTGCCGAGGTGAATGTTACAACTAACCCCAAACACAGGGTGATTTGCTCTTTAACTAAAAAATGATTAATTGTGAAATAATGAGCAATAGTTATGGAACTATTTTTACTTGATTCGGTAGAGAAATGGTTACAGCAACTATCTCTCTTTTTTTCGTAGAAATATAAAAAAGACTGTTACAACAAGCTTCTAGCTGCCCTACAAGAGTTATGAAATATTATATACTTATATTTAATTATTAGTATTAGTTTTTATTACAAAACGTGAAACAAACTTTTACTATACTCGTAAACAAAATGCTTCTCAAAGCAAGTTATAAATCGTTTTTACTATATTTTATATAATTTTAAGATAATTTTAGACGAGGAGTATTCACTAATATATTGATACAACTTTTTCTGTTCTTGTTAATTTTTATCTTCATATAAAAATGTAAAAAAAATACTCAAAATATGCCAAAACGAAAAAATCGCGTATAAAACTTAATAAAATGAATGTAATTTTTTCAACTTAGCAATAAGTGCAAAATAGTTTTATTTAAGAATATACTTTTGGCCTTAATTGATATTCGAAAATTTTAAATTTATATACAAAAACGGACATTTCATTCAATGCCGTATAGATGCTCGTAAAAAAATCTTTTAACGATTTAATTTTTTTAAAATTATAAAACAGAAGATCTAATTAGTTTATTTTCCTTTTATAAGTTTGAAGAATCTAACGACGAACTGAATCTAGAATTATTCAATCCAAGATGAAACTATATTAGACAATTGATATGACCATAAGACTCTAGAATCTTTAGCACAGCTAATTGTGACCTATTACAATCCTATATTACACCCATTATTAAAATCATATAAATTCTGTTAATTGTTTCTGTAGGTTCGAAATGGCAAAGCAGAAGAAAAATCCTGACGCCTGCGTTTCATTTTAATATATTGCAGCAGTTTGTTCAAGTTTTTGGAGAACATAGCAAACGCCTTGTTTCCCAATTGGAAATCGAATGCCAAAAGGACTCAACGGACGTCAACTCAATAATGGCTGATGTCGCATTGAATAATATATGCGGTATGTAGTTTTTAGTATCAATTCTAATAAAACAACGAACGAAATTAACGAAATTTAGAAATTGAAATTAAAGTTTAATCTACAAATTACGTTGCGCCATCTACCAGAACCAAATGGAATGAAATTTCAAATTAAAGTAAAACCACATATGCTTACGTGAAATCATCAATTTCTTTAATAAAAAATATTTTAATAGAATAGTTTAAATCTGCACACAACTTTATTTTATACTTCACCCTTAACTCGGAATTATTATCGACCCTAGCCCTAGTCATAAAAATGGAAGCATAATTAACATTAAGACTATAAAATTTCAGAAAGTAATATGTGAGGGCAGAGATCGACTCTTACAAATGATAAAATATAGTTAGTAAAATTCAGAAAACTGTTAATTAAATAAACTATTTATAATTAATTACTTTTATGCCGCTTTTTTCACGAAAAAGATCGCAAAAAATACATATGTATATATAATAAACGCAAGTCCCATGCTGGAACTAACCCGTTACGAAAAATTAAATTAAACAAAAAAACTAAAAATTTTTGAAAACTAAAAAAATTATCTTTCTGAAAATTTTGAAAAAAATACCTTTTTTTAATTTGTTGAATTTTATAACAAATTTCAAAAACTTAAATTTTTTATTTATATCTTAAAATTTCTAGAATATTTTAAACTCTTTTTCAAAGCAATTGTACTGCGTGGCTGTCAAAACGACGAAATTTCGATGCGCGTAAGCGCTGCGTCGCAGACTAACAGAATAATATTGGTACAGAAACCATAGAAATATAAAAAAGTGTACTTATTATTAAAATCTCCATAAAGTTTCTGATAATTTGATGTGCACATTTCTAATGAGCTTCTTTGATCTCCAAATGAAATTTATTTTACTTTTTTATTGGATTCCCGAAACCGCTGGATCTGCCAACCTGCCTGCAAAAATTTAAACAGTACAAATGTTTTTTGAATTGTTCAAATCCGTTCTCTCAAAGACTGAATTACAATTTTTGGCACTTTTTGCCCCGTATCTTCGAACGGTTGAACCTACCTTTGCCAAAAACTAATTAGCACGTTTCCATCTAATACCATTTGAATGTTTTTTTTGAATCATTCAAATCGGTTGATCCGTGTTCCCAAAATCGTCGACGTCGACATCATGTCCATAAACCTTTGAAACGTAAAGGTATATAAAAAATTTTATTTTCGATTTTTTTACGAATACTATAACTTACCTTAAAGAACGTTAAAAATATTTTTATCTCATTCAAAATTCAGTAATTTAATCCAGCAGAGAAAATGCACCAGATACATTGTGTTCATTTTGTTAGTCTACATGTTTTAAATATAAAAGATATAATTATTTCTTTAAAAAAATAGATCACTTACTTATAATTCGACGTTTAGTTTTTTCTCGGCTAATTGACGAAGTTAGTTTTAAAACTTATTCACAATTATCAGTTAGATCTATGGTAGTTTATTTTACAAGGTTCAATAAATAAAAAATAATTTTGATAATCTCTGTTTATTTAGAACATGTTTTTATATTTACTTGTAGAAACTGCAATGGGAACAAATTTAAAAGCTGTCATTGACTCTGATTCTATTGACTACAAGTGCTCAATTTTCAGGTAAATTTCTATAATACAACAAAAGTTCCTTATTTGCGCTTACTGCATTCGCGTTTTAACTATTCGCGGCCAAAGTCTTATTTTTAAGGGGCAAATTATCAGTTTACAATACGGAAGCAGTTAAAAACTGCCGAGGAAGACAATATTACAAAATTTTTCAAACCATTGCCTTAGTCTGAACATAAATAAGCAAAATGTACAAAAACTATAATTAAAAATTAGTTTTTAATATATTGTTGAGTATAACAGATGTCATATTAAAATTAATCGGTAAAATGTTTAGTACCATATATAATATTAATATAAAACTTTTATAAATTGACCCTTATATTAAGAATATATTATTGTAATTAATATAAAGTTATATATTAATGTTAAATTTGATACTAAACTTATTATTAACTAATTTTGATAGGGGAGCTGGCATACTCAAGATATTGCATATTACATTACAACTATATTTGTCACATTTATTTTGTCACCTTGGAACGTATTTCTCATAACACCATGCAAAATACCATCCTGCATTTGCGTATTTTTTTATTATTTGCATTTGTATCCCCTATAATCCCATATAAAATGCCATCCTGGATTTGCGGATTCTTTATTCGCGGCATTTTTATGGAACGTATCCCCCGCGAATAAGAAGCTTCTACACTATATGTATTTGAAAGCAATTAGGACAATGTGATTTAATCGAATATGGCTCTTGAATATATTTATTTGTGTCTTTGTCCTTAGCTATATAATGTTTAAAATTTAATTTGACAATGTATTGATTTTTCCTTGAATTATTAAAAAATATATATCTGGTTCGTCAAGGTGGAGTCAGTTATTCGTGTATCGTCTTCAAAGATATTGGCTTCATCCAGCCGTGATCTACAACTTAACGCCCATGGGCTACCAAATGAGAAAAGTTCTCAAAAATTTGCATTCATTCACTAAAGGTATCATAACTGATAGAAAAAAGAAATTGATGACAAATGTATCATTGAATGCAAAAACAAGTGATGATGAAGACAAAGATGAGTTCCACGTTAAGAAAAGAATGGCTATGTTGGATTTGCTACTATCTGCTGAAGCACGTGGCGAAAATATTGATGAAAATGGAATTCACGAAGAAGTTGACACGTTTACTTTTGAAGTAAGTTTGAGATGCAACTTATCCGATTTATGGATTAAAAATTATTTTAGGTATTTTTTTGAATTTCGTCTAAAACTAATAATTTTTTGTAGGGCCATGATACAACGTCGATGGGTTTAATTTTCACACTACTATCGTTGGCGGATAATCCCGATGTTCAGGTGAACTTACAAATTTGAAATGCAAACTACTTATTATGTTAAGATTTTGTTTTGTTAATACTTATTTTTTTAGCGCAAAGCTTATGAAGAAATTGCAGAAGTATTTGGAGAAGATGAAATGCCGGCAACAATTCAGGATTTGCAAAAATTGACTTATTTAGATAGGTGCATTAAAGAGACTTTAAGGCTTTATCCAAGTGTTCCTTTTATTTCAAGAGATTTAACGGAACCATTAGATTTAGGTAATAATTATATATTAATGCTCTGCCCAAAGGGAGGTTCATGGTGTGAGCACGCAATATTTTCATGAATTTTTACACCATTGTTTAAGGGGGGAGCCTGCTCTATAGGCTTCAGAAAATCGCTTTTTTGAAGAATTTTTAGGGAAGGAAATAAATATTTAATTGAAACAAAACTTTCAGGTTTTATTGTTATATATTTCAACATTCTTCTCAATTATTTTCAATAAAATATATGTCATAATGTGCCGGGTACAAGCATTTTGCCGATGCGCCACGAGCGTGCAGAGAAAAGATGCACGTCACAATTTCCATCCGAAACAAAAAATCAAAACAAATATATATTTTCAATAGTATAGATTCTAGTTGAACCTAAAAAATCCAGAAAACCTAGAAATAGATACAAAATTTCACTTTAGATAGTTTAAAAAGTAGGTTAATTAAAATTTTTTTAGATTTATTTAGGTTCAACTAGGATAGAATTTAATCCTAAATACAATGAGTTTCGTCTAGTTTCGAAAGGACGTTTAGTTTTTTCCTACTTTTACCGCCAATTAGGAATAATCAAAAACATTAAAAACCGAGAAATCGCGCGTCTTTTCTTTTCTTTCTGCTTGTATACATGCTTGACTATTTCTTCTGTAATTCCAAAAATAATATAAATTTGTTTCTGAAATTTTAGGAATATATTCTTGGCTAGTTTTGGAAGACATTTTTGCAAAAAAAATCGCTTTTTAAAGCTTGTAAAGCAGACTCTCTTCTTAAACATCTGCTTTTATGCTTATTATTTCTGTGTCTCAACTTTCGATTTCGTAAAATTATTACTTTTACTTCCGTAAATTGTCGATTATATTTTATTTTATCATTGTGATTCTTTTTCATTTTATCTTTGCAATATGAGTTCAATTTGCATTGGACATATACTCACATAGATTTTAATCGAATCTAGTAAATTCTTCTTTTATTCTACTATTTCAAAACTCCTTGTTCCTAATCTAAATCCACTGCCCCGCCTTCTCTATAATTTACAAAAGGTAATATATTTTTTGAGAACCTAAAAGGAATAAATATTGAAAACTAAAATATTGAAAACTAAAGAATAAATATTGAATCATTATTAATTTAGTTACGTTTTTCTTACAGTTGATTGCAGGATACCGGCCGGTCAAATAATAAATGTTCACATATTTGACTTACATCGGGATCCAGATATATACCCGAATCCGGAAATGTTCGATCCTGACAGATTTTTACCAGAAGAGTGTGCCAAAAGACATCCTTTCGCATACATTCCTTTCAGTGCAGGACCGCGCAACTGCATAGGTATATAAAAATATAAAATTGTCATAAATAATTGACAAGCATTTTTGTATTAAATGTATGTATTACAAAAAATCTCAAAATCTCCTTTCGCCGAATTGTATAAAAAAGTTATTAAATCAGACTATTAAATCAGAATATAAACATGAAACGCTATAAATATTAATGATCGGCAAATATAAATTACGATCTAATTTGATTCGGTTTTATGTCATAACTAATCTATAAAACTTAACAATCGTTTTATTACGTACATAATATTATATCACTTTCGTAAATATTAGGTGGCGTTGACAAATGGAACCGCCGATTTAATATAGACTGTGTAATATAAAATAATAATTTTATTTTTGAATAAATATGAAAAATGAGTTTTTAAATTATCTGAATTATACAAAATTCTTTCACAATATCAAACTCTATCTCACAAACAAGTAAGAGAGACTAGGTACGGTTGTGCCAGGATACTGTAGTTACCCTGTTAAATGTATATCACTGTGTTATTTTACTGTAAGTTATTTACCAGCAATTAGTTTTTGCTAAGATATTTTAGCTCAGTCATAATGATGATTTGTTTTCAAATGTGTGCGTTGAGTACGGTTGTGACAAATGTGTGCGTTGACAAAAATTCTGGAGTAAAGATTAAACAGATAAAAAAAATCTAACTTAACCAATACAAAATACTAAAAAGAAAAGAAAAGGAAAATTCAATACAAGAAAGAAAAAGATTTCACATAGAATTCTTGTTAACTTCACTTAAACAATTATGTTGTGTTATATATTGTTAAATTTTATTCATAAGCTTTTTTAAATGTTTATGTTGTAATTTGTTACATATTATTGTTATTAACTACAAAAAAATGTTATTAATCATTTTTTGTGCTTAGATCTACTGTTTTTACATCTATTTTTATGCCTGCCACAACCGTCCCTCGGATGTGGACGGTTGTGATAATCGCTCTTTTCTTGTATCACTTGGTTTCATGACAAATCCATCGTATTTAAGGTCATTGTATTTTAGTATTTTTACATAGACAAATTTTTAAACTAGAATATCATTAAAATTATTGCATATCGAAAAAAGTGGCACAACCATACCCAGTTTTGCCTATATAATTGCCAAACTCTTGATAGTTTTTATTCAAAAATTTCAAAAATGTCTATGTGATTGTTTATTTTTTATCACTTTTAATTTAGATTATATTTTTCTGAACTAATCAAAAAAAATATTTCATTTCTAATTATTTTTACGTTTCGGGGATATTGGATATTCTTCAGAAATTATAAAGGATTGATATTAAAAAAACCTTGACTTAAAATTATAATTGAAAACACTTTAAGTTATAGGTGTGTATGGTTGTGTGTATATTGATCGATTAAAAGATTGCAATTTTTCTTCACTGTTATAGAACTCAATTGTATTCCGTGATTAATATATTATATCTTTTTTTCTTCCATTAATACCTTCAAGTCTGTCATCAAACTTCCCTTTTAAACATTTGAAGATTTCCAAATTCAACTAACTACTAATAGATCGGGTAATCTATAATGAAAACAAATCTATTATATGTATTATATTAAAATTTAAATTTTGAAAAATTGGAATTACCGATCGATAATACAACACCATTATTTTATAAGAATAGGGGTCTATTAGTGGCTAAGAATTCCTAGGGACGAGGTCGAAACGGCGATCCATTCCCGTCGCGATTTTTTCTTTCTGACGCGTACTTTCACACTCTCGACACATCTCGTTAGACAATATTTGAACCGGAGTCATTTAAACTGAAATAAATATTATTGGTATATAATAATAAGTCTTTGTACGTAACCCTATGTGTACACACATGAATACAATTTAAAACCCTCGACGGCCTCGGTCAGCTCTCCCATTGTGCGCGATGTGCATAACGGTCGACATTGTATAAATAAAAAAATATAAAAATAAAATATGAAAAAAAAATCAAAGAATTGTATAGGTGACAAGATTAAGGATCCGAATAAAATGCATACAATCAGCTGATGGCCGCCGTAACAGGCTGAAGGACTATCTCCTCTTCCTCTGACGTACGAGTTGATTAATTGGTTCAGTATCGTATATGATATTATTATATAGAAGGATTGTATTTCTTTTTGAAGGGGTTCTTGGTCATACTCTGTGACATAAGAGATGAATTATTTTTTATCTCAAAGAATATTATAATTTTATAATAGTCAAAAAGTAGCCGAGTGGATACTGACCATTATGCAGACTGCACCATGCAGTGCAATATTCATATTCACATGAACATGAAATGAAATATATATTTCCAAAAGGCACCCACACCCAAACTTTTTTGAATACAGTTTTCTCATGTCAAAATAAATAGTACCTAATCATATGATTGATGTTAACATATGTATGAATTGTTTATTTTTAGGTCAAAAATTCGCTATGCTGGAGCTCAAGTCTGTGGTTTCGACGATTTTGCGTCATTATACGTTGGAGGCGATAACTAAACCAAAGGATTTAATATTTGTGATCGATATTATTCTTCGCACGGATCATCCCATCAAAATCAAATTTAGAAAAAGACGACCTTTATAAGCTGTTTCTATTCATAAGCCAAATATTTTTGTATTGAAATTATTTTTAACTATGTTAGTTTATTTTATATATTAATATGTACACAAAATATGTGAAAAATGTAAAGTATTTAAATTAATATGATTTATTTTCTGTCAATTACGTTGGAACGTTAATATTGATAATCTATATATTTTGCTTTACACGATTATTAACTTCCCGTAGGGTAAGTAATAGTAATCGTCAAAAAATCGAAATTGAACATTTTTACATTTCTTCACGTTTAGAAGGTTTCTGAACATTTTGGCATACTTCAGAACAAATGGTTTTGTGTGGATTTGTGTGTGTGTATGTATGTATGTATGTATGGATACAATTTGTCGTTCACGATTGCGAACGCACGAATCAACCATTTGAATCCGATTTGAATGATTCAAAAAACATTCAATTTATAATGATCGAGAGAAGTGGAGAATAGTTTTTGACAAAGACATATTCAGTCGTTTCGGAGATACGGAGCTAAATGTACAAATAATGGCAGTTTTTGAGAGAAGGTAGCATCCGATTTGAATGATTCAAAGATTTGGTTTTATTGACGAAATGATTGTTTTTGGGGAAACCATGTTTTTCTATTTTTTTTAGTTTCCAAAAAATAACTTTTTTATGTAACGAGAATAATTTGGATTTTATTTTTAATCTAGATAAAATTTTACTTGAAATAAATAATTTTAACTTTGCAATTCAGTTTATATAAATTGTTAGAAATATGAGACAAGATCCTTCATTCTAACTCTGCTTTGAAGGGTATCATTAAGTTTTGTTTATATACTTTTCATATAACTTATATAAACAACTTAAATAACTGTCATATTCCAATTTATAAGCTCTTATATTTTGTCTATAAAATACGAATAATGAAAGTTACAGTATTTATAATAATATATTTGAAAACATTTAATATTCTTGGAAGCACGATTACAGCACGGGAAGTTTCAGCAATTTGCTTTAAAACACGATGCCACACCAATAGTTTGCTATTTAAATGATTTAGCTCGTTTAGACGTTAAAAATTTAAATTTTATTTTCGCGGTGCATCGCTGACTTTGTTGATAAAAATATAAATTAGTCTGTCAGAGTTTTAAATTTAGCATCTAATGTGTTTTCAAATCCTCAATTTAAGTGTTCTAAGAAAACCATATCAGCAAATGACAATTTTAAGTGCGTCGATAGTAATTGTGCGCTTACGTAAATTGTTTGTGCCTTCCGAGAGCAAAACCAGCTGTACTCGTTGCTGATGTGAATTCATTCGTATACTATAAAATCATATCGTAAATCTAAGACGCATTTCAATTTAGCAAAAATGTTTTTTCATTGCTTTCAGATGGTGCTAACTCATTTTTCCCTACAAGACCAATATATTGTTCACACTTGCATGCAATTCTCTTTAACAAAACGTAAGAAGCTGCAAGTACAGCCATTCTTATATTACTCAGACCCGTTTGACGAGCGAGTGATCGACTTGTCTGGCAAAATATCTTACCGTTATGAAACGAATGCAGTCAAGCACTAAACTCAATTGTACATTGACCACTTCATATACGATATTAATTCATTGTCTTTTATTAAATGCTATATCATTTTATAGTATCTTGTTAACTTCCCGTAGGGTAAGTTATATTAATCGCAAAAAATCAAAAATGTAAATTTTTATTTTTCTTTACGTTTTAAAGTTTTCTGAACATTTTGGCATACCTTAAAAAGAACTGATGTATGTATGTGTATATGAATGTCCAAATACAACATTTCGTCGACGATTTCGAGAACATGAATCAACCGATTTCAATGATTCAAAAACATTCGATTCCAGGAATCGAAGCACGTCTCCTTATGAATAGATTCATAAGGAGACGTGCTGATTAGTTTTTAGCAAAAGCAGGTCTGATTAGTTTTTAGCGTGCTGATTAGTTTTTAGCAAAAGCAGGTCCAGCCGTTTTGAAGATACGGGGCAAAAAGTGCCATAAATGGTAGTTCAGTTTTTGACAGAACGGAGCGTCCGTTTTCAATAATTCAAAAAACATTTCACTTGTATTGGCATAATGAAGAACTGATTGAATTTTTAGGAAGGCAGGTCTAGCGGTTTCGATTCCATTTGGCGGACAAAAATGATTATTAGCCGCATGCACGTCAAATTATCAGGTATTTTATAGATATTTTAATAATAAGTACAAATTGTGATTACAATTCTATGGGTTCCGCTCATCATTTAAACTGTGACGCGGCGTTTACGCGATTTGATACTTTGTCTCTACGCAACTAATGCAGCGCAATTACTTTAGAAAAACGTTGACAATTTTCAGAAATTTCAAATTAAAAAAAAGTCAAATTCTTCCAAAAATTTCAAAATTCTCAATATCTATTTTTTTCAAATTTTCAACGCGGAAAGTTCCAGCAATTTGCCTTAAGTAAGGTGACCATACGTCCCGGATTGGCCAAGACAGTCCCGATTTTTCGCCTTGCGTCCCTGCTTTTCCAAAAAGCAATATTTGTTCGGGATTGTCCCGGATTTTTGAAAATGTTTTGATTGCCAATATTTGAACAAATTGAATTGATTGAAAATTTGAACCGAAAAAATGTGCATATAAGTTTTTCGCTCCCGGATTTAATGCAAAAAAATATGGTCACCTTACCTTATGGGACGATGCTCCACTAGTTAATCTTTATTTTTAATAATGACCGATTTAAACTGAACGAGTGTCATGTAAAGTTAGAAAACTTAGTTTCGCTTTGTAGGACGAATTCGGCACATTAGTGTATAACAAATAAAGTGAAAGCAATTGTTTCTATGTTGAAGATCTATATAACAAGTAGCAACAAGACTTCGCCAAGATATTGGACTTAGACCAAGAATTTTATCCGGATTTTTTTTATCATGTATTTTTTTTTTGTTCAGCTCATATTATTTTTTCGAATCCTGACATTACCCACAATCAGTTTAAATCCTTATATTGTTCTAACAGCCTTCATTTAAATTTGATTATTAAATTTAACCATGACATTAGATTTGAATAATGTTTGCAATTAAATAATATGAAAAAGCATCGTTTTTTAAAATCGCAACGTCGTATTTTTTTGCCAGTGCCAGCCATTATTGAAATTATGCAAACCCGTACTTCCCCATCCGATGATGTTTTAATTCAGATAAGGACACGCCTGTATTTTGCAGCCGCTGAGGTATTTAGGTGCTAAATAAACGAAAACTAATATCTGCGATATCAAATTGCTGCTATCACAATAAAAAGCTGATAACAATACACGTTAGAAACCGTGACTAAAAGATGTGTATATCGTATTTCATTCTGAAACTGATTATTTATCAAGCAGTTGTTGTTGATGTGTTAATGCAATTTTTGACAAATGAATATACTATACTATTTCTCAATTTAAATCAATTATTATTTTCGATACTTTGATACATAAATAATAAATTATTGATATATACCAATATTGAAGATATATATTCATGAATAGGGAAGAAATAAGATATTTGATTTTTAATTATATAATCTTAAATCAAAATAATAATAAAGTTTTTTTGGACCTTCTTGATATAAAATATTTTTATTAAAAAACAGTTCGTATACATCAATTTTTTTCATTTGCACAACAATGTTTTGGGCAAACAACTGTTCGATTCGAATTATTCAAAAAACGTTTTACTTGCATTGACGGAATAAATAATTGATTATATTTTTGGAAAAACCAGCGAGTTCGGCGATCTAAAAATACGATTTTAAAAATGCCGTCAAAAGCGGTCAAAAATGGTCGTTAGACATAATTAAAACATCACATTATCGGATAATTCAAACGAATTTAATAATGAGTATGAATTTTGTTTTCATTTTTTGGGTTCTGTACCAAGATTTATAATGTTTAATTATACAGTAACGCAGCGCGATTGCGCTTTCATTTTATAGCGAGTTTGTCGAAAAACTTTCAAAAAAAATCAAAACTTTCAAAAAATATTAAGTTTTCGAAAAATCTTTGAAAATCATTCAAAATTATATGGCTTTTAGCAATTTTAAAGTAAGGTACGGAAAGTTCCAGCATTTAAGGCACGATGCCATACGCCACTAGTTTTAGATCAAGACTAACGTATTTCAACATTACTCTATAAGATTGTTACTATAATAAGTTTATTAACTAAATAAGTGAAAATACTGCATTAATATTTCATTTTTCATTAAAATACCATCAATTCTTAAAATTATCATTTTGAATATTATAAATATATATATACAGGGTGTCCCAGACCTCGATAGAATGATTTATCTTAATTGCCCAAAAAATAAAAAATAAATTATCCCACGTTGTTCGGAAATCATGAATTTTTATGTGCAATCTAAAGCTTTGGTTAAATTGTGTATATTTTTTGGTAATTGTGGTTAACTTTTATTAATTTTGTTTATTAAAACTTTGTAACCGTAACCGTGAATAATATTTAAAATAAGTAAAAAAACTACAACTACAACTGCTCAGAGTTTTCAAAAACTAAGACTTTTGAACTATGAATTTAAATTTTTTTAAATCTGGCGACTTTGAGAGCCCTCCTTTAAAAAAATGTACTGAAGTGTGTTGGCAAGTTCCAATATATTATCATATAATTTGTTATTATATTTTATATAATAATATAATTATTATATTTTTATATAAATTTAACGTACTTTTTCATATAATTTCAATTACAAATTGTAAAAACAGTTGAAAAATGTTTATTAACTTCCCGCAGAAAAAGTTATAGTACCGCAAAAAAATTAAAAATTAAAATTTTTATATATCTTTACGTTTTAAAGGTTTCTGAACATTTTGGCATACCTTAGGAAAGAATTGATGAATATGTATATATATATATTTATATATAATATATGTGTGTGTGTGTGTGTGTGTTCGAATACAAATTTCGTCGTCGATTTCGTGAACACGAATTAACCTATTTGAATGATTCATAAAATATTTGATTCGTATTGACGGGGAAACGTGCTGATTAGTTCTTGGCATGTTCTTGTCAAAGAAAGATCCAGTGGTTTGGAAGATACGGGGCAAAAAGTGCCAAAAATGGTAATTCAGTTTTTGAGATAACGGAGCGTTCGACTTGAATAATTCAAAAAATATTTTATTTGCATTGACGAAATGAAGACCATATATAAAAATTTTCATTTTTGATTTTTTTGCGATTACTATAACTTACCCTACGGGAAGTTAATTACCCTACGGGAAGTTAAAAAATTGGATGTCAAAGATGATTATTAGATATATGCACAGCAAATTATCAGATATTTTATAGAGATTTTAATAATAAGTACATATTTTATTCACATTTCTATGGGTTCCGTACTAATATTTATTCGCTAGACTGCGATGCGGCGCGATATTTTATCTCTAAAACAGCTACGCAGCCCGATTACTTTACAAAAAGTCCGTTACTTTTCAAACATTTTTAATAATATTAAATAAGAATAATTTTCGAAAAAGTCATTTTTTTAATTCCCCAAAAATCTAAATTTTTCAGAGTTCAAAGTCATTTTAAAGCTTTTTGAAAAAAATAATTTTCGGTACGAGAAGTACCTGCAATTTTCCTTAAGGCACGATGTCATGCACCATTAAGTCTTTCAAATGTACAATCTATAGAATACTTAATATATACAAATTAAAAAAATAATGTACATCTCTATATAATTCCATGTAAAAACAGTTAACGGTTATTTGGAGAAAACCCGAATAAGTGACTCTATTTTCATCTTAAAAATTGTCAAAATGTGATTTCTGAAACGGCATATAAAATAAAGAAGCAAAAAAGGGGAAACGGCTCAGGATTGTCCGCCCACTTTTACTCGACGGTAGACGAGGATCTGTAACCGTGTAACTTAACTAACTTATATAATGCAGATGGACGATGACGTTACGCAGACGTAGGGTAGTGGACGTGAACGTGAACCGAATTCGAACCGTCTAAAATACTTCGTTTCGGCTAAAGTATCGAGATCTGTGGCTTAACTAGCTGCAAGTGGAATTCTGTCTTAAGGCAATTAAGGCATCGTGCCTTAAGGCAAATTGCTGGAACTTCCCGTACCAAAAATTATTATTTACGATTAACATTTTTGAAAAAATTTTACTTCGAAAGAATAAGATTTGTGAGAAACTATAAATTGGATAAAAAATTACTTTTTTTGAAAAAAAAAATTAAAAAAAAAAAAAAAATTTTAACTTTTTAAAAAAAAAAAAAAAATTTTTTTTAACTTTTTTTTTTTGAAAAAAATGTTTTCTTTATTTCGACATATTTTGCAAGATCTAAACTTTTTTTCAAAGCAATCGTACTACCCTTACTGCATAAAGACGAAATATCAAAGCGCGTAAGCGCCGCGTTGCCGTCTAACGCGTAAACATTGGTACGGAACCCATAGGAATGTAAACTAAATTTATACTTATTGTTAAAATATCTGATAATTTGATGTGCATATGTCTAATGATTATTTTTGACCGCCAAATGGCATTTTTTTTTTACTTTTTTCATTAGATCTCCGAAACCGCTAGACCTGCCTTTATGAAAATTTGATCGGTTCTTCACCTTGTCAATACAAGTAAAATGTTTTTTGAATTATCAAAATCGGACGCTCCGTTCTCTTAAAAACTGAGTTACCGTTTTCGGCACTTTTTGCCCCGTATCTTCGGAACGGCTAGACCTGCCTTCGCCAAAAACTAATCAGCACGTCTCCTTATCAATACGAATCGAATGTTTTTTGAATTATTCAAATCGGTTGATCGTTGTTCCCGAAATCGTCGACGAAAATTTGTATCCGCACACATATACATACACGCACACACACACACATACATCCATTTTTTCTAAGGTATGCCAAAATATTCAGAAACCTCTGAAACGTAAAGATATATAAAAATTTTCATTTTCGATTTTTTTGCGATTACTATAACTTGCCCTACGGGAAGTTAACTAAACGGCAAACGGGCAAACGGTCTCGGCGTGCGTTTTGCGCAGTCGTCGACGAACCGCTCTCCACGCTCTCGGCGACACCGTGCCCCGTGCCACCGGCGAACGAGCCGAACGAGCGTCGATCCGACAGCGTCGCCTTGTGGCAGTAGTGCGCGTATCATGGACGATCCATTATACGAAAACTAATATGGCCGAAATTTAGTAACCCTTTCGATATTTTCTTTATTGTTCGCCAACGTATTTGAAGTGTTTCGTAGTGCGACGAATTACGATTATTAACATTAAACAAAACATTCAAGCCTATTTCATTACAAAAAGGTGTTAAATTGCTCGACGAACGTTTTTGAAGTGAAATAGGTACTCCAAAAGAGGTTAGTTCTTGATGGAACAAGTGCGCGGAACTTAATGGAAATTGTTCAATTCTATCATAGTTGGCCGTAAAATAATTGACGAATAAATAATTCACAATGTCGATAGACTCGTGCGCAATTATTTAATGTGCTCGTTGTTGTATTTCATGTTAAAATTATAACTGTCAAACGCAAAAGGATTTCGTTCCCTTAGGAGTGGCCGAGATTTATATATCCCTATGACGACAATAGCCCTAATAACGAATTTTATTATATCACTGCATTTTGCATATGCTAATTGGTGATTGATAATATGCATATGTGTATTTTCAAAAATTAGGTTGTCTTTTTTTGTCTCTACAAATTTGACACACAATTATCTGTCACCTTGTTATTGTCAATTTTATTGTTATTTTTATCATAATCTATAAGCTGCACTACAAATGCAACATATTTAGGTCTTGCTTTTAATATGCTTCAATTATTTCTTCTATTATTGTTTATTTCATGTTTTATGTTGCATAATTATTCAACAAAACTTTATTTTATTGCAGACAGAACAGTGGTTAAATAATATTTAATAATATAGACTGAGATAATTTAACAGAATGAACTTGTAAATCTTGACATTGTTTTTAGTTAAATCATTTTTAATTATAGCAATTTACACATCAGTGTGACATTTATTTATAAACAAGCTTATAATTTATACAGAAAAATTAGTATATGTTTGGTGATCTGTATCTGCATTCCTTGTTTACACTTACTTGTGGAGTATTATCTCAAATCATTTTACACCCAACAAATTTCCAGTCAGAATAAGGATATTTAATTTAATCTATTTCTAAAAAGAGATGTTTTATAAAAGTTGCCTGTTGAAACTGATTATGAATGTCGACTATTTATATTAATTAATATATTGCTACATATTAGCATTTCAGTAGCACGTCTTAGAAAGATTTCAGTGTTTTTAGCTCATATTTTTAATAAAATCCTTAGCATTCTCTGTTTAATATCTATTATGTAATCTTTATCTGTTACTACTATTGTAGGTCCTGATTTCTTGTGTAACCTTACCATTATGATGCATCCAAATATGCATTCACATGGGAGTCATCATCATGGGGGACACCCTATTCATGGGGGTATTTCCATGGCACATCCTGTTGCTTCTGCTCATCAGCATCAGCATCAGCAACATAACTCACATAGAGATCAGAACCGGTAATTATTAATTGAAGATGCTATTAATTTTTGTTTATATAATTGATCTCTTATGATTTATGCATATAAATCTAAATTTAGTAATTAGTTATTATCTAGTGGGAGTATATATATATATATATATATATATATATATGCAGTTAACTGTACATATATGTACAGTTAACCCCCATACAACACAGTAATTACGTTTGAGAAAACTAGCATGTTATGCGAATCCGTGTTATAAGGGACAAAGAACTAGTACAAAAAGAAGGGTTACGTTACGTTCCAGAAATTCAAAAAAAACATGCTACATATCATGCTTTCTTAATAAATATTGTTATATTTATTCAATTTTTTAAGAAGTACTTTTCTAAGTAGTTTTTACTTGAATTATATGATTTTTCTGTCATATCAAGATATCTTCATCCTCTGAGCAGTTTTCTATACTACCTCCAAATCCGTACATGATGTTTTGCAAAAAAAATTATATTTGCGATTACTTGCTTTTAGCAATATAATATTTATATATTTAACACATGTAAAGTAATCTTTGTTAAACTTTTATGCTCATTTTATTTAAGGAATTGCTTAAGAATTATTCAATATATTGTTCGGATAATCCTAGATTTTTGTTTTTGATAGAACGTACGCGCCTTAATAATATATATCAAATTAGTTATCTTTTGCACTAGTTTCATCACATTTATTGAGCTATTGTACTGCGATTTTACTAATTTTAGATTAAATAAAGTTTGCTTTTTATAGGTTTTACTATATTTCTTATTTTATTAACACTTTCCTCAATTCTTAAATCGTGTTAGAGCAAATCCGTATTATAGAAGTACCGTGTTGTGCGAGGTTACCTGTGTATATATAAATGATATTGATCTGCCATTCATAATAAATGTGTTTTAAAATCATTTCTTAAATTTAACTTGATGTTTTTTTTTTAAATTTTGTAGTGTTAATTCAAATGGACGTATGACACACAATCAGCACATGTCATTGCATCAGCACTCGGTTCAGCAACAATTGCAACAACGTACAGTTCTTCATGCTGTGCCCCAACCCAGTGCACAACCTACAGGTATGTAATGACTATTTCTTTTTCCACTGCATATTACTCTTTCTTTATTTTTCCTTTATCATTTCCATATCAAGTAGTATTTGTTGCTACTTGTGAGTGTTTTGAGCTCTCTAACACTTGTTTCAAATCTGAGTATGTTTTTATTCAAAGAAATTTTATTAACTTGTTTTTTTTTTATCATCACATAAAATATATAATTAGAACAATACCTAAATACAAGAAAGTTGACAATTCAAATTTGACAGCTTGTATTTGGAAATAACATGTCAACATTCTATTTATGCTTCATTTACTTAAGTTTCAAGCTATCCCCAAATACAATTTATCAAGTTTAAATTATCATTTTTCTAATATCCAAGTTCCATGTTCTGAATTTTGTAGTTTTCCGGGATTTTCGTTTTTTTTTTAAATTATTGCTATTTTTAGGGAAGTTATTAGTACCCAAGTCGTAAGAAAGCATTGATCTTAAGATACAATTTATGCATTATTTTTCAGTAATTTTCTATGTAATTGTGGAGATTGTAATAAAAATGCCAACAAATACCCTGTGTTAAAACTAATATTAAGTACAGTTCCTATATTGTGTGATATTAGGTATTTGTTTTATTTTTACGTAATTAAAAAAAAAATTTTTTTTAGAGGTTATAACTAGAAAGGCTATTTGTTTAATTAATGATTTTACTGTTCAAATTTGTCATAGTACTATATTACAATTTTTTTTGTAGATTATCAATTATGGTTGTGGCACTAAAATTTGCGAAATATGCTATAAATATCACATGCAAATCTGTGGAATGCATATATCAGTAAAAGGCTTATTGCATGTGTTATTTTTTCTATCCAACTTCCAAAATGTTGAGATAAAATTCATGTACTTACAGCTTTGTTACCACTTTTTTCCTTTTGATTTTTTATCTATGTATTAGAAAATTTTAAACACTATTTATTTTTCAAATTCATATTCAAGAGATTAACTTTATATCTAAACCTAATTATTATTGTTTTATGGTCAGACTGAACAGAGATGATGTCTATAAGTGTATATATATATATATATATATATATATATATATATATATATATAATGTGCGGCAAATATTGATATGCAATCTTATGATCAAAGGACCTTGAACTTCTTATGTTTACGGTTACCACAATATTTATTTACAGATTTTTATCTGTTTTGATCAAAATTATTATATATTTTTTCTGATCAATCCCCCTATTTGTTTCAAAAATTACCAAAATCTATTTTTTTTTTGCATACATTATGTGGAAGAATAAATTCGGGGTTTTAAAGCACTTCTATACCATAAATATTATTGGTATAGCATAAAAATTTAATACTAAAATTACTTTGCTTTGATATTCATTTGTACTTTAACTTAAATCTTCTAAAATTGAACGACCATGGTTTACATGTTACACTTTATGAAAAAAATATACAAAGGTTTTTTTAAAGATAACAAATCACATACATTTTTGGTTTCCAATTTTTATTTGCTACTATAATTAGCAACTGTACACTCTTTGTTTTTTACTTATATTGTCTCTGCGCATACAAATATTACTTTGACAGTTCCATGAATCGAAATGATAAATTCATCTTTACCAAACAGAACGATTAGACTATATTTTAGTTTATTTATTTACATTGCAATATTACTCATAGAACATCATTTTCTGTGAAGTTCCCTGGTTGCTACCAATCTCCATACTGAAAGATAATCTAATTCAAACTTCCCCACCTCCACTCTTTCTGTAAAGGTGATTTTATCATTGGAAGCTTGTGAATAAATTCTAAATATCTATGTGTGCTACGAGACATAACTTGATCATTTTAAGTTGATTTTATTTCTTTGTTTTTTTTCCTTTCTACTCAGACTACATAAGTAAAACAAAAGGGAAATGGGAAAAATGGTGTATTTTTTTTCAACAACTTTCAACTGCTAAGGTATTCGCACTCGCGCTCGTCCTGTTAGTGTCGAACTGTATTGGGACAGCCCATGCTAGAAAACTAGAACAGACAGTGTTCACAGCTGAAGACTTGTATGAAATGTTTGGGCCAAACGGTTGTCTGGAAGGTACAAACATTCTAGAAACGTGTTTCCCAATGCGAACATTACGTCCCGTCTAAATGCATCATACTCATATTTTTATACTTGATATAACCCAATAACATGGTTTATATATACATGTTTTTAACCATTTATTAATAATATAATTTAAAGTAATTTAACAGCATGATTCCAATATAGAGGAAGCGGGACTGACCAAAATTGAATTGGGAAGCATTGCACTAGAAAAATCTATTTTAACTTACTGAATCATGGGTTTCTTTCTATTATTAAGGGCTCCCTAATTCTGTTGTCGTATGTGAAATGCGAAATGTGAAATGTACGAAAATGATAAAGTGAATTCTTCTGCTGTATTTAATTGGTTATTGTGGAATTATTATAGTATGCAGATACACATAGACACGCATATATATATATATATATACTACTCTTTTAAAAATCTCTTAAAGCTTTCCTTGCCTACATATCCACTGGTCATAAAAATTACTTCACTTACACTTTATTATACTTTTGATAAATCTCAACACTTTTATTTCATTACACTACTTTCTATTTTTTATTTTATTTTATTGTGTATTCATGGCAAAGAGTTAATTTCTTTTATATTTTGCATATTCATTATTTAAATATATCTTCACATTTGTGCTTTCTCTAAAATTTTTCATCTACGTTTTTGGTAGTTTTAAAAACGTGAGCAAAATAGATTGAAGTCACTTGAGTTCATTGTATTGATGTACTAAAGTTTCTTCTTATTGTAGTCTTTTTTTTAGCTGATGTAGTACTATTTTATTTTTTTCATCATATTTTGATCAGAATTCATAATTGGTGTTGGTTTCCTTCCTTTTCTTTTGAAAACTTTGCTTTATTCATGGAATAATTTATAAAAATCTTGGTAGCAGTATCTTTTGCATCATATAATTAGTAATTATATTTATCTTTACATTTTTGTATTATTTTTTATTTCAAATTACTTTTTTATAATATCGTTTACTATAATTTTATGTTCTGAAGAGCAAATTTTAACTTCGATCAATCTTATGGATGCTGATGTATTGTCTATGAATAATTCAAAGATTTCTTAGCTCTCACATGGATACTATGAGTTCACATAATTTTAGGCATTTTTTTTCACCAAAGATTATTTTGTTGATTGAAAAATTATTTTTATTTCATTGTAATCATTATGACACAAAAATTTTACGATGCTTTGATTATATATGCTACGTTTTTATGTATTTCTGAGCTTGTGCCGTGATATGTTTCATTGTCTAACATACGCCATATCGCGCTGTCGCGTTTTTGTGTCCCAGGCGTTCTGGTGTCCATGAGCGCCGGCCCCACTCCCGTGGTCTCCGCACAGGGCGGCGGCGTCAGCATGACGTTGAAGCAGCAGACTGTGTCCGACGCTACTGGTATCACCTCAGGAGCCACGTCCGCCACTGGCACGAACGACCCGGTCGTCGAAGTGGCGAACGTCACGTCTACTGTTCGCCCTGAAAACACTACAAACGGCAGCAGCGCGCACTCTGCGTCTACCTTGGCCAACACTAAAGAGAAGACCCCCATGTGTCTAGTCAACGAGCTGGCAAGATACAACAAGGTACTGACATAACACACGCTATAAAATATCGATCGAGTGAAAATTAAATGTTTCTCTATTGGGTTAGTTAAGTTAATTAGGCTTAAGAAGGATGTAAGTGATATCTTTGAATTCAATACAGATACAACATCAGTACAGACTGACGAGCGAACAGGGACCCGCACACAAGAAGCGATTCACTGTTATGCTGAAGTTAGGCGATGAAGAGTACGTTTCCGAAGGAGCGTCGATTAAGAAGGCACAGCATTCTGCTGCAGCAGAAGCTCTTCAGTCTACGCAGTACAAACATCCACCACCCAAAACTACACGAGGTGAGGAGAAGACATACATATAATACATAATTCAATTATTTCATTCAATCTTATTCGCTAAATTATATTATTAGGCGGTTTAAGAGGTTCCTCCGATAAGTCTGGAACCAGTGGTAGATTAGGAGGCGGCGGCAACATAACACCGACCGTCGAATTGAACGCGCTCGCCATGAAACGCGGAGAACCAGCCGTTTATTACCTGCAACCTATGATGGACATGTCAAACGCCACAAACGCCTCTCAACCGCAACAGACGCAACAAGTGAGTAAGAAACTAGATGTAGAGTCGAGTCGTTCTCGCTTGAAAATCCGATTTGCTAATTTAGTTTTCTCGTTTCAAGTCATTTTGAATTGTGTGAGTCCCGACTTGGAAAAAGTATGTGTGTGTATGTGAGCCTATTGTTGACCTAAAAACGGCTGAACCGATTTCAAAAATTTAAATGTTATTTGATGAAACTCGAAAAAGACAGCTCGAAAGATATTTGTTGGGAATCGTGCTGATCAGTTTTTGGTAAAGATCGGCCGGGCCGTTTTCTTGTAATAAAGTGTTAAAAAAAAAATTTCGACGATTTTTATGATTTTGTTTTGACGGTAGATACCATAGTCTTATAGATCATACTAAAATATTACGGCCCTACGACAACTCGTTCAATTTTAAAAATTTGTCAAAGTTTGCAAAAATTAGCATCGTTTTTTTAGCATTTCTCAAAATTAGACATTTGATTGACGTTTGCTCAAAATCGCCTGAAACGATTTCAGAAATTTAAAAACCATTGGATGTATCTCGATGAGGATTATCGTTTGTCAGTTTTGTGCGACGATCTGCCCAGTCGTTTCTTTGTATTAGGTGAAAATCTACCTAGCCGTTTTCTTGCAAATAACTGTTGTAAAAAAAAAAATTAAGCCGATTTTTATCGAACTTTTTTTGGCGATATATATCATGGCCTTATAGAACTTACTGAAATATTACGGCCTTACGACAGTAGTTAAATTTTAAAAATTCATCAAAGTTCGAGAAAACGAGTACTTTTTTTGACGTTTGTGAAAATTAAAATTAGACAATTTACTTAGTATAACGATAGAGTACTTGGTCTTAATGAACATACTAAATCATTCAAGTCCTACGAAACTGGTTCAATTATACAAATTATTGATTTTTGTAAATTTGTTTTTAGAAAATACTCCTAGGTAACGTGTTTGTTCATTTTCAATTGTGTGCAATAAATCCACTCAAAAGACTTTTAATCACTCATAAATTAATGTATTTTTTATTGATTAAGTTGATTATTTACATATATCGGAAGTTTATGTAACTTGCCTCAAGGCAAAATACCGATACCAACTAGTTTATTTTTTGTTGACGTTCATATAGAAAGAATATAATATTTATCATCACTAATTATGGCAGATATTTTAATTCTCAGATCACATTGTTAACACTAGAAAGACGGACGCAGTCATTTTGACTGTTTTCCATTTTCAAACATAAAAATAACTATGTATTTGAAGTCGCAGCTTCGTGAAATTTCGTGACTTTTTATACAACATCTAAATGCGTAGATAAATCGTATTATTTGCCTTATCTCACTTTTATTTTCAATATTCTTACATGTTATGCCTGCATGGACGGAAAACAGTCATTTTGACTGCTCTAGAAATTTTACATAAACAAACGGCTTTGTTATTGTATTGCAAATCGTTATCTCGCGATAATTTATCTCGAATGAGCCATAATGCATCTGTTACATAGAAATAACCGAATTATGGTAAGTATTGACATTAGACCGGTCTTTTTCACATAGTAACTTTCAGTATAACGCGTTGTTTAGTTGATTTTTTAGAACTTATAAATAAAATGTCGAAGAGAAGTGAATTGTTGCAAAAGCTAACACACATAAGTGAAGAGTGTTCCGACATAGAATAAAATGCAGAAAATTGGGCACAATCATCTGAAGATGAATTGGATTATATTCCACGTGAATCATCTGATTCTGAGGGTAGCGATGAAGGTGATCACTATTGATGAAAATGAAAGTGCCATCAGTGTATGCAGGAGGGTGCTAAGTGGCTCAGAAACTGATGAAAGAATTCAAGAAACGGAAACAGCTGTCGATGGTACTGTATGGACAAAAATTGCCGAAGGTGGTACTCCAGGAAGGTCATCATCTAATTGTGTCTTCAAGGGTGTGAAAGGGCCAACAAGCTATGCAAAAGAGAATATTATTACAGGTGATCTTGTCAGTGCATTTTCGTTGATAATAGATAATTATATTATCAAACACATAAAACAGTGCACAGAAGAAGAGGGCAGTCGAATTTCGGAGTACGATTGGACAACATCGTTACCGGAAATACGTGCATTTATTGGAATTTTATATGCTCGTGGGGCCTATGAGGCAAAAAAATTGAAATTAACTTATTTATGGTCAGCAAAGAAGACATGGCAGATCAAAGGTAAAGAAAATATACCGTGAAATCCAGTTCCAATCCAGTAGATGACCTCTGCAAATATTTTTCAATATTTTGGATTTGGCTGCGATAAATGCCTGGATTCTTTACAAGGAAGCGACAGGAATAAAAATCCAAAGAAAACAAATCCTTAGAGAACAGTTTTTGTTTGAATTGGCAGAACAGCTTTCCGCGGACTACACGACATCAACACAAAAAAAATCAAAGGAAAATGATGACCCACAGACATCATGCAAATACCAATAGAAATAAAAGAAAATTTTGCTAAATAAGACTTTGTAATAATAATAAAACTAATAATACGTGTCAAAGTTGCAACAAAAATTTTTGCGAAAAATGTATTCATAAAAACATCTTAAATTATATTTGCATGAATTGTAAAAATAATGAACTTCTTTTTCAGATGAACTATTTTTTTATTTTTAGCACTTATAGATGATTTGTATAAATGTAAATAGTACATGAAATAATAAAAATTAATTTTAAACAAATTTCTAAACGCATTATTTATTTTTTTCGCGACGCAGTCATTTTGACTGTTTTCAGGCAATGTAGGTATATTCAATTCGTCCGTCTTTCTAGTGTTAACTAGATTGGCTTGTAACTCTAATTCTAATAATAATCAATATCTATTTCAAATTATTCTATTGTGCCTGGGTTGAATTGTCTTATATGTTTTATTTTTAAGTGTTCTCACTTTAACCAATCAAATTTTATTAGAATATCTACAAATTACAAATCTTATAATTATTTTCGTAACTCTTTATACATTGGACTTTTGCATATTATTGATTATTGTAGGTGCATTTGACGAATGACTAGATATTGCCCACACATTTATTCAAGTAAAAGTTTGGTAGTGCAGAAAATATAATGCTTTAAATTATTTTTATTTTCTCTGCTGATAAATATTTTTTGGATGTTTTTATGTCCAAATTATATCTACAAAATATACCAAAATTTTCAAAGAAGTATTTTCATGCTATCAAAGCTATATCAAAGTTTCAGTTTTTGTAATATGTACATTTTTCTTACATTTTTAAATTTTATGTAAGATAAATAAGTAAGCAACTATATTTTATTTCAATTAGGGTCAAGTGCAACCGCCTCACTTTGTGCAAATGGCGCCACCACAAGCCGCACAGTTGAATGGCGCAGGCGGTTTTAACAATTTTCACCATCACCATCATACTCATAATCAACAACATAGACCAGGAAATACGTATCAACAACAACAGAATAGATTTCATCAGTATGATCGGAGGGGAAATCTAATGAGAAACTACCATGGAGCAGAGAACAGGGTATGCCGGAATTATAATATAAATATAGTATACATTATTTTTTATTTATTATTTTGTTATCCATTTTTTTAATTATGTTTAATTTAAAAAACTGTCTCTATTGGAAGCTCTAATAATGATTTTATATCATAAATTTATTATCATGAACGTATATGTATATGGATTTATTTATGTGTTGTATCTAATTAATTATTTATACAATAAATGGCAGAGATATTGGAAGCAACACTCATCATATGGACATGTGGGTCCAGGAGAAGTCTGCAGTGTGATTTTAAAAGTGGGCTCCAGAGAATTTGTAGGAGCTGGCAACACGCCCCAAGCTGCCCGGCACGATGCTGCTTCTAAAGCTCTTGAGGAATTGAAGAATCTTCCCATGCCAGATGGAACATGTCCTGCTGTGCAAGGCGATAATGGTATATTTTAAATTTAAACAAATAAAAATTTATCTAAAGAATTGAAATGCTAAATTGTCAACTTAATTTTAATATTGATAACTTCTATCAATATTGGGTTTGCCGGGAATAGCTTTTTTTTTTTCATAGTCAATTCAAATCATGAGTCTATATTAAGGATGGTGATTAGAACTTATATGAGCATGGAATCCTTTAGTAAAAAATGTGGTCCTATTTCTTCACGCTGTAAAACTAAAGTTACTCTTTTGCAATGTAACATATAGAGTCTATTAAGATATATATTATAAGCTTTATAAATTCTAATAATTTTTTATGGTTTGTGCATTTGCACAATGCGCATCAATCATCATATTCAAATTTAAATGATTGTTTGTATAAAAGTATGTTTCTGCAAATTTAATTATTTTTTATTATAGTTCAACTAATATATTTTGTATAACATTTTCAACTTTAACTTTTATTATAGTAACTGTTCCAATGGAGGATGATCCAAATTCTGAATTAAAATCACCTATATCTCTTGTTCATGAGATCGCTTTGAAGAGAAGTTTAGCTGTACACTTCGCAGTATCCAGTGAAAAGGGTCCACCACATATGAAAGTTTTTGTCACAATTTGTAAAGTAGGTGATTTGCAAACTGAAGGAGAAGGCAACGGAAAAAAGGTTTTAATCTTTTGTATAAATATATTTTGGGAATGTATATAATAATGTTTTATAATTTAATAACTTCCTTCCAAATTAAATAAGAAACATTGGTATCTATTTTAACTCTAACAATTTTTATTTATTTTCGTAAAATATTTTTTTTATTTTTCTAAAAAACAAAATTTTAATTATCAGGTATCAAAGAAGCGTGCTGCAGAAAAAATGCTTGAGGAACTACACAAACTTGGACCGATATATACTAAACAGACCTGTGGAGCACCTGCTAGTTGCGTTACTAGAATTAAACGCAAACCATCTGCTACCAAGAAAAAGTCAAGAAATCTGATAAAAGAAAAATCTGCCGAACCTGAATTTAGCGAGGAGGTAAATCCTATTTCAAGGCTTATTCAAATCCAGCAAGCCAAGAAAGAAAAAGAACCAGTTTATACTTTGGTGGAAGAAAGGGGTGCTTCAAGGAAAAGAGAGTTTGTGATGGAGGTATCTGCAGGAGGTCATAAGGCCACGGGAACGGGTCCAAACAAGAAACATGCTAAGAGAGTAGCTGCGGAAAGTAAGAAACTACATAAAGATTTATGCATTCATATAATTAACAAAACGTGTGCTACATTATATTGTTTATTTTAATATTACCTAGTTTTGATATCGAAATAGTCATACTTTTTAACATATGATATTGGAAATAAAGTAAAAATAAAATAATAAAAATTGCATTATGGGCTGTAATTATAAAAATAATTTGAATAATAATTAAACAACCAAAATAGTACTAGGCGGAAAAAACAGTCTATATATGTTTGTCATTTTTTCCTAAACAATCTTCTTACAATTTTTTAATTTGACACTAGAGTTTTAAGCTAATCAGCTTATGATGTTTATTAATGCAATAGGTTTTTTTTTTTCTTTTAGACCTCTTGTCTTTGATGGGATTGGTGACTCCAGTTAAATCATCTATAAAAACCAATGCTGAAGACAACCCAGTGCCTCCAGAAAAGCCTCGCAAAGTTACTTTCCGTGAAAATTTAGATGTGGTGACTCCACCTGGCACTGGTGGTGCCAGTCATAATCAACAACATCATAGTAATAATCAGCAAACTGGGCAGTCAACAGGTGGCTCAGCAGGAAGACAATTGGTACCAGGACTCTTGCTTATGCAGGATCAGAATACACAGAACTTTGCAAGTGCGCAGAAAACAGGTAACTTGAGATTTAACATTCACACAAAATTATACTTAATTTGACAAGTATCTTTTATCATAACCTTAAAATTTGTAGGAGTTAACATTCAAACTACTGCTACAATTGCCAAAGAGTTTTTAAATGCTGGTAATTCACCTACAGCTGATGCTTTGGCAAAAGCTGGGCACAACGGACAAAAATTCTCTGGAGAACAGCATTTGTCTGGAGGCATGGCCCAGTCTGTTCTCAGGCCTAAAGATCAACTACTCTATTTAGCTCAATTACTTGGTTTTCAAGTTCAGTTTTCAGACTTTCCAAAGGTTTGTAGATACAATATTAAAGATTTATCTGGAATATCATTTATTATGACATATTGTATATTATTTATAATAATATGATGTACATTATTAAATTTCTGAAGGAGAAGTCGCTAATTGCTAATTGTATGTTTCCTCAATGTTTCAAGTAGTTCTGAATCGAATGAGACCAAATTTGGATAAAGTATGTATGTATGTATGTGTGAGCCGATTTTTAACCCTCAGATGTTTTGACAAGAACTTGTTGACAATGTTTTGTAAGTAATATAACTGATATGTTATTGATTAACTTGATTATTTATGTATAAGTATAGGGGATTCATTATATATAAATCATATCTATTAATTTCCTTTTTAACCTTTTCAACATTATGCAATGTTCCTTTTATTAAGGGAGGAACCTGCTTTAGAGGCTTAAAAAAAATCGATTTATTTTTGCAAAAGTGTCTTTGAAAACTAGCCGAGAATATATCGCTAATATTTCAAAATCAAATTCAAATTATTTTCGGAATTACAGAAGAAATAGTGAGCAATAGTCAGGTATGTATATGAGCGAAAACAATACGCTGAACGAAAACAATACGCGATTTCTCGGTTTTTAATTTTTTCGATTCTTCCTAATTGGCGGGAAAGATGGGAAAAAAACCAAGCGTCCTATCGAATTGAGACAATTCATTGTATTCAGGATTAAATTCTATTCTAGTTGAACCTAAAAAAATTAAAAAAAAAAATCATAACAATCTAAAATGAAATTTTGTATGAAAAAACATGATTTTTTTTTTCAAGTTGCGAAAAATTGGTGAATTTCTCATTTTTTTCTAGATTTTTTTAGGTTCAACTAGAATCTATACAGTTGAAAATATATATTTATTTTGATTTTTTTGTTTCGGATGGAAATCTTTCTGCATCTTTCCCGCCAAATAACACTGGCACTGGCGCATCGGCAAAATGCTTGTACCCGGCATATTATGACATATATTTTAATTAAAAAAAATTGAGAAAAATGTTTATTTCCTAAAAATTCCCCAATATAAGCGATTTTTTTAAGCCTCTAAAGCAGTCCAAAGCATCCAAAGCAATTTTGGATTGTTATTTTTGAATTAATAAATAATGTATTTATGGACTTATTCTATCTAAGGCACATGTATAAGTTGTAAGGAATTTTGTCTTAAGACAAGTTGCATGAACATCTTGATACATGTAATAAAACGACTTAATAAATAAGAATTTACTTTTGGCTAGATGCCGCATACAGGTAATTCATCAATATATCATTAACAGCACTAAATCCACATATGCTAAATTTGAAGATAATCAGAATTATTTTTTGTTAAAATAAATCTAATAAACATTTTTTGTTAAACGTTTCAGCAATATCTATCATTTTATTCAAATTACCCAGAGTGAAAAACTTAGTCGTTTTGAGTCAATTTTGAACTTGGCTGACTTAATTTACAAATTGCCCTCCTGTGGGTGCATACGCCCCGCGTTGAGAATCTGTGGATTGCCTAATATGCTATAGTTCTACGGAAAGTATATTGATTTGGCACATGATCGTGTTTGTGCACCTAATCCAATTATTAATAGTATAAGTTTGTTTGAAAGATTTGAACTAAAAATCGCATTGATTGGTTTGTAGTACAATCCAAAAATGCTGAAATAAACAGTTTTGTTGTTACTTTTATCAAAGTAGATAAATGTTAATTATTATAGATTAAGTCATTATTTACACATATCTGGAAGTTTTTGCAACTTTGGTATTTATATTAATTTAAGATACGTATTATTTTTTTAATTTATTTAATTTGTATTAAATTGTTATTTTACTCAGCTGTATTAGAGGTACAATGTATCACGAAAACAGAGCAATATTTGCAATTATGTATTTCTACTTAATAAACTGCTTATTACTTTTCTAGGGAAATCATGTCGAATTTTTGTCACTGGTATCTTTAAGTACAAGCCCTCCTCAAGTTTGTCATGGTGCTGGAGTGTCTACAGAAGCATCACACGATCAAGCCGCTCTTACTGCTCTGCAAATGTTAAGTGAAATGGGCATTGACAACATAACGCCTAAAAAGGAATTAAGTTCTACTGCGGCATCAGTAACTGCTTCAGGAGCAGGAATCAACTCACCACCCGCTGGAGGAGACAATGATGGGTAAGTTTATTTTATTCAACAGGTTTTTTATTTTACATATGTACATTTTTGTGCTATTTTTAACTTCCTGAAAGTGAATTTTCATAATAAAATCCATTTCGCTAATTTTATGTTTTCTCGACGTTTCAAGCCATTCTGAATCGAATGAGACCGAATTTGGAAAAAGTATGTGTGTGTGTATGTGAACAGATTTCGGCTGGATCGATTTCAAAAATTTAAAAGCCATTTGATGTATTTTGATGAGGACTGTTGTTTGTCAGTTTTGCACAACCATCAGCCAAGCCATTTCTTTGTAAATAGCAGAACAGTGCAAAGTTTTTCGTTTTAAACCGCAATTCTGAATCGATTTTTTGAAAAATCTTCCAAAGATATTGGTTGGAAATTGTGCTGATTAGTTTCTGGTAAAGATTCGCTGGCGCAATTTCTTGTAATTAACTGTCGAAAAAATGTTTTTCAACAATTTTTATGAATTTTTTTTGTTGATAGAGATATCATGGTCTTCTAGATATTACGGTCATACTAAAATATTACGGCGTTACAAGTCTTTGAATATTGAAAATTCGTCAAAGTTTGCAAAAATTAATCGCGTTTTTTTGACGTTTGTTAAAATTAGACCTTTATCGACATTTGCTCAAAAACGCCTGAACCGGTTTCAAAAATTTAAAAGCCTTTCGATGTATCTCGATGAGGACTATCGTTTCTCAGTTTTGGGCGACGAAAGTGTTAAACTTTTCATCCACATTTTAGTTTAATCAATTTTGGAATAAGAAGCTACAATGTTAGGACATAGAAGCACACGTGTCTGTGCACTATATTTAATATAATTACAGATATTATTAATCAATTTAATTGGAAATCGCAATGTTTAAATTTAATTAAAAGCGAAAACTTGATTTTTGAAATAAGCAGTTGAAAATGTTATCTAAATATCTAAATTTCAATTTCGGTTGTTAAAGTCAATTATTAAACGTATCGGAAAGTTTTTGCAACTTGCCTTAAGGCACAATGCAACTTTTAACTAGTTAATTATAATTTTCAGCTATCTGTTAACTTTTAGAACAAGCATGTAACCATAAAAAGAATTATTTTAATAAGTATCGATTTGTATAAGATTTACAACATATTTATAAATTTCATAATTAATAGTCATATTTATTTCTAGTAACCAGGATTATTTCTAGTAACAAAGATTACTTTCTGTTCTAGTATTCATATTGGTCAAAACAGCGTCGGAAGCAAAATAACTAAGAGCACTATCCTCGGAAATGGACTGAAGAAATAAGCTGTTTGTTTATTATTAATTTATCATTATTATTTTTTTTTCTTTTTAAAAAAGGAGGAATCTACAGATATAGAAGTATGTGATTATATTGCAGTATCAAACATCGGCTTTTTGAAGTTAATTTAAAAAAGGATCTGATGAATTATAAAAAATATTAGTTGTGAGGAAGTTTTGTGAAGTAATTTTAATGTTGGAACTTTATCAAATTATTGTTCTGTGAACAAATCCAGAAGTTAGAAATTGTAACTTTCATGTCTGAAATCATACACGTTTTTATTCTTTATAATTTTGTTATAAACAAATGTTTTTCAAAAGTATATTCTGTTGCCCAGTAATGTTCTAAATAGTTTTCAGTATAATAAGCATTAAAATTATTTTAATATTTTCAAATATTGTCCATAGGAATAATGGTTCAATTTATATGCCATAAACTATCTTCACATTCAAAAATATGTTTTATTGGAAATATTCATGCATTAAAAAATTAAACCATTTACATTAACATTCAATAATGATTAGATAGAAACATAATTTTTTTGACATATAATTGAACAAAATTGCTGTCAATAATTTATTTCTATGAGCTAATGGACCGCAACTCCAGAAAAATCTTTAGTTATGAGCACAAAATTTGTTTTAATTGAGTACAAGAAAATATGTTTGACGTGTGTTATTTTCATAATTTCTGTCGGCAAATATAAAGAATATTAATATATTTGTATATATAGCAAAGTTTATATTTTAATCTTAAGCAACTGGTTAGTATAAGATCACTTCTTTAGTTTTTATGCTTCTGTTACAATGCAATGCATTATAATTGCACAAAATATTTTGATTTGTTTCTCTACAAGATTTTGTGCTGTTATATGAAATTAGATTTCTGTGACATGGCATTGAGGTGGCTTAACACGTTTTTCTCTGTGTGTTATATTCAGTAAGGTGGTACAATTGTGTATTATTATTATTATTTGGTATATTATTGATATAATAATTGTCTTAAAATATATCACTACAGCGCGCTATCATCGACTAGTGCATTATCATAATAAATAAGCATCTGCACTATAAAGCTTAATGATTATTTGCTGATTTCGATTTTGAACTAATTGAAAAAATTAACTGGAACTTTTCCCAGATTGAAATCACTTCATTTAAGACAATTACAACCATTTTTAAGGAAGTATTTGGCTATGATTTGTCTCCTGGCAAAACAAAGGGGCGGCATATATTACATAATCCTATAACTATAGAAAAGCAAATTTAATTGTAAATAATTTTAAGAGATTATAAAAGAATTCATATATTTTGTTTTGCATAATCTTACAGTGATAGAAGAAATTATACAAATTTTGTGTGATTTAGTGCAAAATTATCTTTTAAAAAAATATAAGTGATAAGAAATTTAATATATTTAATTAAATTTATATCTGCTGTACCACTCTTTTTTTAAGAGTGATAGATATTAATTTGTTTTCCAAATTAAAGTGCTACTATTTTATTTAACTTATATTGAATTAATAAAAATTATGTTTTATTGGTAACAACAATTACATTGAGTTTTTGCCAAGTTACCTTTTCATTGTTGCGCCCTTTCTTTTGCCGGATGATGATACGCATAATTTTCCTGTTCCAAGCATCTGTGTTTTTTAAACAAAAATGAGTCGTAAATTTTATCACATTACGTTTTATATATGTTAAATGTGAAATTCTATGAAATTGTTGTGTAGTACATTACTCCCGGGTCACTACCTTCCCTTTTGGAGACATAGAATTTTAAACTTAATAAGATATAGCGACAAGCCCACAGTGAATTTCGTATTAATATATGTATATTGTACTTGTAACTTAATATACAAATTGTTGTCGGCAGTCAAATTTACTGCTTTTTAGGTATATGACGAGTATCTAATTAGGTATTATTATTTATTCCATGTGTACTGTATATGCTCCTATGGAAATATTGATTATTTAGTTACAATTTTATTTATATTTATATATTTTCAAGGTTTCTATAACACATGAGACAATTAAACAATGAATATTCCGAGATGCACCAAAATATTGATGATATTAAAATACTCTAAAACAATTTTGTGTCATATTTAATTTTATTGGTATTTGTTTTAATATAATTTAATATTTAAATAAGTTTCATAATATAGTATATTTTCTATAAAATCGATATAAAGCAAAGGCTCTTTAGAGTCGATGCCAGCTGATAACAGTATTTAAAGTATTATTACTCATTCTATTTATCAGTTAGGTGCAATAATAACAATGTTAGGATTTTAGAGGGCTGATCAAAATGTCCTGATCAAAAGCTTTTAAAAATATTTTCAATTTTATATCATTTTTTTCATTTAAATTGTACATGAGATAATGATTGAAAATAAACTATCGTATATTTCATATTTTATCCTATGTGTAAATTATATATATATATATATATATATATATATATATATATACGTGTGTATGTGTGTGTGTATATAGATGAAAATACCCAGAATAGTGTTCCATATGGAGACCAACAGAAATTGGAATAGTAATTTAAAAATATATGAATTTACATTAATGGATCCTAGGCATATTTACAACTTTTCCATATATAATTATATTATGGTTTTATAATTGAGTGAATATCATTTTTCCATATGAAACCTGAATAAAATATTTCAAAATTAGTTTTATTATTGAAGGCAGCATCAAAGTAATTTTCTTTATAAACTCAAATGTAATAAACTTGTTTTGTAGTGATCTTAGAACAGTTCGATTTATTATTTATTGTGGTATTTACTAAATTAATTTTGTGGTATGCACTAAATTAATAAAATTCATTCAGTATAAAATTACTAATTAGAAAACCTATCTTTTATACAATAAACGAAGATAAATAATTTCCTTATCTATAATCGAATCCTGTATTATAAGATTTCATGAAAAAAATTCTCTCACTTTCAAATTGGTGGAAATGCGTCATGACAATCATATGCTGTCTGTAGAAACCTTATGAATTTTTCCTTGTTTTTACTATATTTTTGTAATGATTGTTTTCATCAAAAATTCGATTATTAAAGCAACCTATTGCACACGAAAACAAAGTTTGTATAATGAAACGGTTCGTCAAAAATGTACAACAAGCTCGATTAATAAATTAAAAGAAAATTCGTCAATACAGTCCGTAAATTTACAAAAAAGTTTTAAAATCGTTCAGAAATATTTTGCAAACGTTTTATTTAAATTTTACAACAAATTATGTTTTTTTATTTTTTTTGTTTTTGTGTTATGGAATGGATTTGACACAGTCGGTAAGTAATTTATTCTATTAATGTTGAACTAATATGTATGATTTCTTTTGTATATTATTATAAAGACCTAAATTGATTATTAAATCTATATTTAATATAATAAATTTTAACAATCGGTGGTAAAATTATTAGTGACAGTCCGGTTTTTGACTAATATTGTTTTATTAGGGAAATGACATTTTATATATTTTATATTAATTTGTTTTTTATTTAAATATATAGATACTTTATAGAAAGTAATTTATTTACATTCCGTCGCAACTATAAACATTTGCATTACGTGTTAAACATATACATATTATATTATGTATCTGGAAGTGTTCGATTCTAATATGGATTTAATATTTAACCACGAGATTTTTTCATATTTATTTTAATTGAGTGATATATTCGTTTTTTGAATTTTTTTTTGACATGGACGGGCTCAGATCGTTTATACGACTGTTCGATGTAGAATCTCATTGTCAGTTCATCCAGAGTCGTTCCTGTTGTTTTGTGTTGATTGTATGCTTGTTTGATGTTTATAAAATTTCTATTTCTAAACTAGTTGTGCAAGGCATTGTGCATTAAGACAAATTGCTGAAACTTCTAGTTAGATAAGTAAATAAAATACTATATATGTTACAATAATTTGCTAATTTGCAATTAAATAGGATATTTTTTTATCACCTTATATTTTGTGAACAATTACAAGATTCTGTAACTACAATAATTTAATTAACAGAATTATGTGTTTTTAATTTTTCATAAGTATTTTGTTCATCACTTTTGTCTACGATCATTTCCCATTTACATACATTTTTGTCGTGCCTGATAATTCAACCAATAATAAATATCGTCTAATGAAATTTAAAAATAAATGATATTTTGGGCGCAGATTTCTATAAAACGTAGAATTTCTGTTTGCCACCATAGATAAAAGAAGAGTATGGATGTATTCACATGGCACAGAAATTTCTAGAAGCACCTAACTTTACTCCAGTTTGGCTCTGACCAATCAGGTGCCGTGTTAATACGTTCGGCAAAAAAATGGTAAATTTTCTTAGGAAAGTGATGAAAAATTATGCGATTTCTGGCCGCCGTTGCGTTGTCCATGCAACCAATTAAAACGTAGCTCAAAAAGGCATAAATAGGCGTGCGCCTACGGATTTACGGCCATTCTTGATAAAACTGTGAAAGTGAAAGTGGTAGTGAAAATAAAAATTGCTTGAGATGCAATAAATTTAGAATATTTTATTTCGGATTAAGATAATCTACACATCTAATTGCTGTGAAATATCGAGAAGTTATTAGGTGTATCGTCTGAAAGGTATTTGCAAATTTTTATTAAAATTGTTGTGTACATAGACCTTAGCATAGATAAAAGAAGAGTATAATACATTATAAGGGTTATGATTTTCCTTATAATACATTATAAGGACAATATAAGACCTTATAATATATTATAAGGACAATTATAAAGACAGAATAAGACCTTATAATATATTATAAGGGTTATGGTTGTCCACCCCTGAATTTTTTTTTCAATTTCGGAGCAACTTTTATTTTTAATGAATATTATGTATTCATATAGAAACATGACGCAGAATAATCTAGAATCATTAACATCAGAATCATATACAAACAATATTATTATATTGTCTAGGATATAGAAACATGGCACAGAATTTTCTAGAAGCACCTATTTTATTTCAGTTTGGTACTGACCAATCAGGTGCCGTGTTAATACGTT